CCTATTATTGAGTGCCAATGCCAGGCTAAGATACCAGTCCAACTACGAACTGTTGATTATCAATAACAGGATTATTGACTGAAAACTGTCAGACTGTCGACCGTCAATCACCTTCCTCCTTTCCTTTCCTCTCCTCTCCTCATACATATAAGCCATACTAGAGAGAACAAAGATCCCTATAACCCAATGCCCAATAGGAGAAGGAAAAGAGAGGAGGTTGAGGAGTGGGGAGTCCTATTATTGAGAGCCAACGCCAGGCTAAGATACCAGTCCAACTACGAACTGTTGATTATCAATAATAGGATTATTGACTGCAAACTGTCAGACTGTCGACCGTCAATCACCTTCCTAATTTCCTTTCCTCTCCTCCCCTCTCATCATACATATAAGCCATACTAGGGAGAACAAAGATCCATTTGTAGCAATGCAAAAATTAACCAAATATAATAGTAACTATAACACATGAACTTTAGAACATTGATAAGGTATTTCAGAGTTCAGAGAGTTGGACTTTAAAAGATTTATAAGAGAACTTAAGACATGATTCGACATTAACTAGAGGGACCGATCTTCCTGAGGAATTCAAGGTTATCCCCTTTCTTTTTAAAAATCAAGCTTTCCGGGAAAAGAAAAAATCACTAGGAACTATAATAAACAAATAATATTTTTTTTTGGTTGATGTCTGTGTAAACCTAATGCAGCCATTGACACAAGTCAGGCAGGATAAACTTTTTGCTAAAGCATAACTTTGCATTGTACATAGTAACATTATCCAAGATCCTAGAGTCTATGATTGCATTGGCAATACTGACTGCCCTTCGAATACAGGTTTGGTAAGTGTAAATACACATAGGTTCACAATGCATACGAAACAGAACTAACACATAAAGCCTTGACATGTTCATATCAACCAAAAACAACAAATTCAAGCATTTGAGTAAACGATAGTAAAGATAAAAGAACAAAAAGGGCATTCCATCAATAAGAGAACAAGAAGGGTGGTGAAATTTTACCTTTCTAGATACAGATACCTTGGCAATCTCAATTCGATCATTCTTTTTAGCCCATGATGACCCAATACTGAAAACCTAGGTATCCAATCTTGCCTGAACCACAAGACGGATATAAATATATTTTCGTACTTCTCAAATATCACAACCAATTCCATTTCCACAACCAAGATTAAACTAAAAAATAACACTGACCTTCATATTTTCCAAGGAAATCCCCTCGGAGGTACGGCCAAGAAGAAGTTGACCTCCGGCGATCCTTTAACCGCATACAGTTTCCCCTCTTCGCTAAAAAGATAATTGTCCTGCTTAAATTTCCTGTAGGAATCCTCAAAATACAATTAATAAAGACCAGGGTTGGGAGATTGAAAGACGTTGGCCTCGACGACCTCAAAGCCATTGAGACCCTTGATGACGTTCTCGAGCTCAGTATGGTCGACTCCGTCAACGGCGGTGAACTCGTGGGAGTCGGTGATCCCGTCGTCGGCCTGGAGGAACCCTAGAATCGCGTCCTTCGCCATTTTCTTGGCACCGCGGCCGTTGCCTCACCTCCGGCCGTCTTTGGTATCTCACATCAGCGTTTCGACCGTAGGCATACAGCGGGCTTTTGGATTAAGGATCCGTAACCGACCAGAAAGGGATCCCCAATTTTTAATTCGGATCCTGAACTATTGGAGCTCCATTAGTCCATTCATTCCGACGCGTACTGTGCCTCCATTTCGCTTCAAGCTACGTGTCGAGACTTCGATTAATGACTTTGAGATGCGTAACAGCACACGCGGACGGTGCGGATCATATCCCTGTGCGCTGTACCGGGGAGGAGCCGAAACCGTCGTCTGGAATCGGGTTAACGGCCCCATGGGGTCACCGCTTATGCCACGACCGCGGCTGGGCCTGGTGATGTGTGCGAGAGCACGTTGTCATCACTTAAGTCGTGACGTAAGCGGGAATATGGGATACACCGTCGACTTGAGTCTGACTTAACACACGACGTCATCGGATCCGAGTCGTAACAAAAGTCGTGGCTTGAGAACATTGTCAAAAGCGAAAGATAGTACCACAATATTGAACCTTAAACATCAGCTACAAAACCAGACAACGATCTGAAGACGAGAGAGACATGGATATGAAGACGATGAAGCTCGCCGGACTATGTTGGGTTCATCATCGTCTTACTGTGGCAACTTGTTCAACTTGCAGTACTGGTAGTCCTTGTACTTCTTCGTCTTATATTTCGCAGGGTTTTGATCACTCACGAACTGGGGCAGAGGGCCGACCGTCATCTCCGGCGGCGGCGAGCAGAACACCGGCCATGATATCCTTGCTTTCTCCTTGTTCACGGTCGCCCTGTGCAATACGCTCTTGTACTTCCCATTGCTCAAAATCTACAGCAAGAAACAAGAAGTTACAACATGAAATGTCTGCTCGCCGGATTGTAGCAGCTACCTCAATCTGATCGCCAATGTGGATGATGAGGGCACCGGGAACGTAATCGATGTCGATCCAGCGGTCATCCTTGGAGATTTGCAGGCCGGGGACGTCGCTGGGGACGAGTATAGTGACCGCCGACAAGTCGCTATGAGCCACCACCCCGAGCGCCAGGTCCGGCCGGGGGCACGGCGGGTAGTAGTTGATCTTGAGCAGCATGTCCATCTCCTCCCCTCCCAATGCCTTCTTCAGAGCACTCCCTTCGAGCCCTAACCCTAATGAAAGGCTGTCCAGTATCTTGTCCAAGATTCCCAGCAAGTACTTGGTGTATTCCTCGTTAGCCTCCCTGTATCATGAGGTGAAGAGAGAGAGAGACAGAGAGAGAGAGGACTCATTCACACGTAGATGTGTGTGTGTGTGTGTGTGTGAGAGAGAGAGAGAGAGAGAGAGAGAGAGAGAGGACTCATGCACACGTAGATGTGAGTTGGGAAGAGAAGGAAAGAGTAAGCATACCTATACGAAGAAGGCTGACGGGGCCACATTCCATGGTTGATGCGAGAAGGAGGCCAGACGTTGTGGAACAAGTAGTCGCCCCAAGCCTTCTTGCCGTTGGGATCCTTCTGGATCTGCGTGCCGTAACCCTCGATGCTCCCGGAACGAGGATCCGCCGCGTAAGACTCCTTCTCCTCTTGCGGCAACTCGAAGAACTCCCTCCCCACGCGCTGCAGCTCCCCGATCACAGCGGCCGGGATTCCGTGGTTCACCAGCTGGAAGATCCCCCACTCCCGGCTCGCGTCGGCGATCGCGTCCACCACCCGGTCAGTGTCGGCGAGGTCGATGACCGGGACGGCGGGGGCGGGGCCGCGGTACGTGGTGGCGCCGGGCTGCTCGTCCTCCACGCGCACGAACTCGGGAGGGATGGTGTCCTTGGAGTGTAACATGGAGGCAATGGCTTGCACCTTGACTTGCGCCATTCCCTGGTGACACAGTAAGGGATCCTTGAGCCGGTACAAGGAGAGGAGATGACATACAAAGGTACTGTTGCCTAATTGGAGTAGAGAAGACAACCTTATTCCGGTAAGACAAGACTCGGTCAACAGATGACAACCGCTATTTCGGAGGCTTTTCCTCGTTTTAGATGAGACATCAGATGTAAGCTGGTCATGCATCCTAATACAAATATATTATTTGAACTTATATCAGATATAATTCTTCTAGGGTCAATAAATGGAACAAAATCATCTCTAACGATGCATAGTACTCGTAGAAAGAAGCATTTAAAAATATAATATTTTTAGATGCATAGTTAGTATGTAATTTCCATAATATTCTCCATTATATTCTTTCTTTTGCATTATTAGTTGTAAGCCAAATCGAAGCCTTATTGTCTGTACGAGTCGTGGTCGTAGTCGTGACGTAGACATGAATTCGTAACCTGTTATATCCACCCTTGCTTTTCCATCACACGTGCCGTGATCAATCATGATCCGTGAAACACCGCGACGCAGAAGATCCAAGGGTGAGACTGGGATAGAGCTAACCGATGTGCACTTTGTGTGGACTATGAAGAGGAGACGTGACCGTCGCCACAGCGTGTTCACAGCAAGCTGCCTCATCTTTTTCTCCATGCACGAGAACAAAATTGTCCACTGGGAAAAGAACACGAGCATGTGATCCGATTGATTTGATAGCCCCATCGTCAGATCTTCATAAATAATTTTTATATAATTTTATATATTCGAATATGACATCTATTGCTTATATATTAATATACTAATAATATAATATGACGTACGTTAATATTATAGTGTATATTTGAGGTTTTACATAATATCCCAAAAAAAGCAACCAGACACGAAACACGTTCGCCCTCCCACAGCATAACAATGGTTCCATTTTATGTTGCTCGTGAGGCAGAAAGGCGTTTCCTGTGTCACGGGAGACAGGCGAGCTCGGCTTTTGGAACGTCCACCAGTAGTGTATTTACACGTAGGTGGAATTCTTCCTCCAGGGGTTCGCCCGCGAGACATTGTGAGCTGGGGGGAGATCCGCTGCAGAGGATGTTGCAGTTTGCGACCACCGGTCACGCGCCACGTAGGTGAATCAGTTTTGGGTACGTGAATTGATGACTTCCGACCTTCCACCGGCATCAGCGGATAGAGAGTGGATGCCGGAGGGGATACCGCGGAGTCAAGGTCGTCTACATTATGGCTGAGATGGGAAGGTGACGAGGAGTAGAGGAACGACCGGCGGTGGAAATGGCAGCGCGGACTCCTTAATCTACTGCGCCTCCGACCACCACGCGGTACTGCGCCGTCGGATCCGACCGCGACGACGGCTTCTCCGTTTTGGTTTCATCCCTCTCTCTCTCTCTCTCGTCCCCCTCTGTTCAAAATCGAGCTTTTCTCCCGAATTCCTTGTTGTTTCGGAACAAGGACATGTGGTGGTGTTAATGTCTGATCTCTGTCGGCTCCACGGATTCGTTCCTTGAGACGGAAGAAAGGGAAGCTTTTGAGAAAGGAAGTCAACATTTCTGACAGCTTTTTTAAAGATCAGGTTTGAATAAAATAGTGCGCACTTGTTCGAGGGATTTATTGGGTCGCAATTAAACGGATCTGCCGTTTCTTTGGATGGGAAAGAAGACAACGATGGCAATATAGAAAACAAGCAAGAACAGTGAAGGAAGCGGAGGGCAAGAGACAAGTGGAAGAGGAAAAGAAATAGATGAAAGGGGGGAATTTTGTTTGAAAAATGACAACTTTTTTGGTTTCCCCAATCCATATCGAGCTCTTTTCCTTCTGTGGCGCCTTGTAAGGTCCCGGTTGGCTTCCTCTGCCTTAACAGGGACGCTTCAAGCTTCCACGATTGATACGGCCCTTGGCCGGACGCGAGCGCGCCGGTAGTGGCCCTCCCACGGGCCCAGAAGCAGCGGGCAGGCCGTCCTCTCCTAGCCCGCTCCCTGATATCCTCACCCTCCCTCGGTGACACAGTCGTCCGCCACCTAATCCCTCCAAAGGTTCGTACTGCTCCTCTTTCTGCTACTGTTACCGCCACTTCCCCTTTCAGAAGGGAAAGACACCCATCTCGCAAGCCTTTTCAGTTCTCACGGAGAAGAAGCCTTGTATCTGTGCTCACATTGTAAAGCTGTGAACCATAGTTCCTGTCCTTGTAGAACGCTACAGCTGGCAATGCAGATCTGAGGCTGCTTCTTTCCATCGCTCGATTCCGACGGCCGGAGCGCCTATGCGTCTGTTCTGCCGCCGCGGCACTTCGCTGGTGGTGTAGCAGGGATGAAGAAGAGCTCCGCCGCCTCCTGTCGTAGCAGATCCGGGACGTTCCCAAGCCCCGGGACGCCTATCTACCGGCACGGCGTCGGCTCGGTCGCGTACCAGAACGGATGGAGCTCGGAACGAGTGCCGCTGCCAACGCACTGCAACCGGAGATACGGGGGCAGCGGCGTGTTGCTGCCGTTCGCCAATGGGAGGGCTTTGCCATCGAAGTGGGAGGATGCAGAGAGATGGATCTTCAGCCCGGTCTCAGGTGATGGGGTCGGGAGCTCGTCGGTGCCCCCCTCGCATCATAGGCGGCCAAAGTCAAAGAGCGGCCCGCTCGGAGCTCCTGCTGGGAAAGCCGGGGCATATTCATCGGCGTCACCGCTGGTTCCTTGCTTTGACAGTGGCAGGGTTCGGAATTATGCGGCGAACTCGCCTTTCTTGGCGGGAGTTCTAATGCCGGAACGCAGCTTTTGTGGCAATGGTGGTGGAGTGAGAGGAGGAGACGGTGGTAGCGCTGGAGGAGGAACAAAAGGAGTTGGTGGTACTGGTGGTGGCAGCATGGGTGGGAAATCTCATGCTGGTAATGGAGAGCCTTATGTTGTTCGATCTGCTAGTATTCATGGGTGGTCAGACACACTGATCGAGTCTTCTTCATCAGTGCCCAGCTCCCAGGGTACTACCGGACAATTTCTTGCTTTCTTCATTCCTTTATCTGCAAGTTATCATCAAAATATCTGTTTTCTCCATGTTGACAACACACACTGTTTGCAAACAACAATTTCTTTCGCATAAACCCCGATAAGCTAGGAAGAGTTGGACTATATGCAACTGGTTGGATTTTGTTCTTGTTTGTTTTTATAAATCCTAGATTCATGAGCAATTTCACATGCCACTATGAAGAACTTTATATGTTTGCTTGTGCTCATGGCCAGCAATATATTTCCATTTCAGATTAATAGTCTATGCTACTAATCAAATAAGTGTGTGCTGTTTATTAATATATGTAATCTTTTTTATGATAATAGCTTCTCGTGATGGATATGTTTACAATTACTTTTTATTAAGGATATGTCAGAAAACCTCAGACACCATAGTCGATTTTGTGCAAATTATAGGAATCTTTGAGGATTTGTTCTACTCAACATTCTTTGTCAGAGAATTGCTACTCAACTACTGAGCATGTTTTAAAAACAATATTCTAGTATCTTGTGTTTTGTTGGCTTGATTTAATCGTGTGCCATTTGCAGATACCGATATTGATTAACTTGACATACATGCTCTAGATGTGCATTTCCTATTCGAACAAAGTATTTTATATCACATACAATATTTTCTATGTAAACCACTTTGGTTTCCTGAGCACATTACATGGTTATTCAATTTTACATGTTAAAGTAAAACAAGTAATGCTGATTATCAAAGCAAAGAGTTTCTATTATCGTGTTGCGTGCGAGTTCTGAAAGACTTCATTCATTTATACTTTATTGTCATAAGGATGCTGCATGGTAGTTCCATTCATCTCTGATATAATTTCTATTAGCTGGGGGCATGTACACCTCCCTGTGCTGTTCCAGTTCTTTCCATGTTTGACACCAAGTTCCTCAGAGTGGGTGATTGTCTAATAACTCATAAATGATAGCATACTTTTGTAAATTAGCATGACTTTAATGTATCTTCGTATACATAACAGAACACCTTAAGCTATAATTTATTGCCCTTGTCTTGCAGCTTTTTGGATTTTTGAAATATATTAAGCAAGAATCTACTGTAGTTTATGCTGTGTATGGTGGTATAATGAGCATAAATCCTATCACCTCTTCAAGTAGTTTAACTTACCAGATAATATTTGGATTCACATGCAGATGAGAAATCTGAAGGTACCAGAGAATCAGCTTCCACAGTCTCGGCCGCAGTTTTGAGAAAGGATGTGGCAACACAAATGAGTCCAGATGGAAGTATTCCATCCTCTCCCAAAGGGAGGCCTTTCTCCCCTTCCCCATCATTAGTCCCTCCCCTTGAGGAGCTAGAGAATCACTTCTCAAAGTCGGTGGTTAGGGATGTTCAGGTAGATGATCAAGTTACGGTCACCAGATGGTCCAAGAAACACACAGCACGAGGCTCTGATAGGCGTTTAGCGAGCATCCTAGAATGGAAGAAAAAGAAGACTGAGGCATCAAATAGTTCTGGTTGGGAAGTTGATGAAACAGCAAAATCCACATCAAAGTAACATCATCTTTTTCCTATGCTATCCTTTTCGAGTCGGTCCATGTTATGCATGCAATAAACTTTGAGGCACATTGTTAATAATCCGTAGATTTGAATGATTGTGTAGTGACACCATATTAAAGCACTTGCATTGAGTGCTGAAAGGCAGCAACAGATATTTGTCCAACAGAGATAGTCCTTGCCTACACCATGAGAGTGCATTATGTGAATGTAACTTGAACCTGTCTTCCTTACAGTAATTAACTGCTACAGTAGTCTTTTATATGCCCCTTTAAGCTTAACTATCTTCCTAAAAGTGATTAGCTTGCTGCGCTAGTCTTTTTAAAGGCCTTACTTGAGCAATCTTCCATGAGCAAGCCTGTAATCATTCTTCTATCAAAAATTACTTGATTTATACATGTATATCTACATGATAAGTTCTGCTTTTTATTGGAGAAATAGAAAGATTCTGAACACCTTTTGCTTACATGATA